AAAAAAGAAAAAAAAGTTTCTGTGGTTAAATTTTGGAGTATGAGATTTAGTTTAAAAAAGTTGTTGGGGCTCATTCTGTTAAATAATATTTCAGGAAGATAAGGCTTATAATGAATAATCCGTGGGTACATTGCTATATTCATACTGCCTTTCATTAAATTATAAATTACTTTTTTATGCTATTGATAATGCAAACTTGTTACTCGCTTGGTTGCTGAGAAATGTGAACTTATCCTCCCAGTGGTCTTCAGTTCTAGGTAGCAGTTTTCTTTGCACTTCTGTGTCATTTTAGCCCAAGGCTTTCTTTTCCTCTTGTTTCAATATAGGTAGGGGGATACACGTGCGGTTTTGTTACATCGGACGTATAGGGTAGTGGTAAGAGGTCCTGCCTTTTGGTGTACCCACCGCCTGGGTAGCGTGCATGGTACCTAATAGGTAGTTTTTCATCCTTCATCCCCCTCCTTGCTTTGGAGTCTCTAGTGTCTGTTCTTCTGCTCTGTACAGACGTGAGTCCGCATAGCTTAGCTCCCGCTCTTGAGAACGTTTAGTCTTTGGTTTTCTATCCCAAGTTCCTTCACTCGAGATAATGGCCTCCAGTTCCATCCAAGTTGCTGCAAAAGGCATTATTTCATTTTTTGAAGGTGCAGCCACAGGCTTTCTGATAAATCTTTGGTCCTGTGATAGTGTAAACATTTTTGCTTAGGGAAAGCAAAGCATTGCATTTTATAAGTAACCCAGCTCAATTCTATCTTTTGGGAAGAGAATTCTAGATTTATTTTTCTTTTGCTTTTCTTTCTCCTTCTTTGCAAGAAGTAATGTTAATTTTAGCTTCTTCTTGACCCTACAGAGATTGATGACCTTGTTTCTTTCTTTTTTTTGTTTGTTTATTTGCCAGAGTCTCACTGTGTCGCCCTGGTAGAATGCTGTGGCCGTCACAGCTCACAGCAACCTCAAACTCTTGGGTTTAACCGATTCTCTTGCCTCAGCCCCCTGAGTAGCTGGGACTACAGATGACCGCCTCAATGCCCGGCTATTTTTTGTTGCAGTTGTCATTGTTGTTTAGCAGGCCTTGGCTGAGCTTAACCCCACCAACCTTGGTGTATGTGGCTGACACTGAGCCCGATGGCCTTTTTTCTTTAACCAACTAGCACACAACAATAGTTGTAATGTTATAACTATTTTGAGAAACTTATATTAAAAAAAAAAACCAATCTAATACCTCATTAAAGCTATTTTTAAAAACCTGGTTTAAAATTTACTAGGTATAGCGATGCTGTTCCTTTAGCATACCAGAATATTGATGATACAGTGTTTGACCAGGACTTAAAATCAGGGTTGCTTAGTTGGAAAAGTCGAAACTCACATTTAATTTGTTTTCATGGCACAGACAGCATTATACTGAAGTTGTAGGGTTTTTCAGTGACTGAGAGGACACTTGTCTGGATAGTACAGTATTTGTCTCTCTTTCTTACAGTCTCAGCTGTCTGAAACATGACTATAGTAAAGGCAAAGTAGGAGTTCAAAGCCAAAGGACTAGATAACACAAAAGTCATCACTGATGCTCAAACTTGTCTCCTAAAAGTGCCCCTTATGTATGCATTTAGGGTCTGTTAACTCTTATTTCATCTGGTGCTCTTGACGGTTAATCTTTACTCTATGATTTCTCAGTGAGTTAGGAGGTGGGGAAGAGTTGCTGGTAGAGACAGGTGTGCAGGCAACTGTAAACTGTAAATTAGGTCTAATTCTGGATGTGCAGCCATTTTAAACAGTTTGGCATGGGAGCTAACCGTTTTATAAACATGTGGCTCCCCAAAGTCTACTTACTTTTTTAACAAAATATAAGGGTGGTATGTGTATGTATTCTTACATCTTGATCTCTGACATCAGATACATCTTTAAAATGGGATGTGTATTGAATGTGATTAGTAATAATGGAAAAAAATAAATCCTTAATGTTTCTCGTGGTTATAGCATCTTATCATAGAGGACATACGGTAACTGGTGTCTATAACTGCAAACACTCTTAGAACTAGGAAGTTTTGTTATTCTGGGTCTTTAAAAAGAGAACCTTTTAGGGTTTAGATTTCCATTAAAGTTGTGAAGAAGGAAAAACTGAAATTTGCTGAAAGTATTTAGAACATGTGCTTATGTGGAAATCCTTCCACTGTGATAGATCTGATAAAGCAGCATTGCTGTTTGTTTTGATTTCCTTATGATGTAGTGATAAGTTGAGTTTTTGGCATTAGGTTATTGAATTTGAATTTTACTCTTATACATTATGGCTTTATCTTGTAGGTGCCTAAGCCTACGCATCAACCTGTAGGTTCTTCCTCTACCCTTCCGAAGGATCCAGTATTGAGGAAGGAAAAACTGCAGGATCTGATGACCCAGATTCAAGGAACTTGTAACTTTATGCAAGTATGAGTCGTTTTAAAAAAAGAATTTTAAATGATGCTCATGGAGCTCCCAACTTCTGATCTGAAGCATTACCGTGAAATTGTTGTTAAGAACAGAATAAATTCTGGTGTCTAGAATGAGTAGGAATTCTGGCTTTGCTGCCTCCCAGCTCTGAGGTTTTATATTATTTAACTCTGCCTCATTTTCTTTATTTGAAAAATGAGGATAATAGTTCCTACTTGCTAAGTTTGTTGTGAATAAAAAAATGAATTAAGCACGTAAAAAGCTCAGCTTGGTCAAGAATTATTACTGTAATAGATCATCATAGTTTCCACTTGGACTGTGAACAACTACTGTATGCTTTTTACTTTGCTAGGTACCAATGTGTATAGACAATAGACGTTCTTTTTCTTTATGAAATTTATAGTGCAGGCTTGGTACCTGTGGCTCAAATTCCTAAGGCACCAGACACATAC